TTTTTTTTTTGTCACCGGAAATGAAACTTTTGGACAGCATTTACAGTGTGAAATGTTTACAGTATGTCGGGGCTGGACTGAACAAATACACATAGTGAATTACCGACGAAGCCATCTTTAAACCGGTAAGTATGTTATACTGCGAGTGCGATTTAGCTTTGTTTTTTCCAACTTATCAGTGTTTTTTTTTATTTTTAAATGTATGCATCTTGGGTTTAGATCATGGCCAAAGTAATGGAGATGAGTGCAGTGTTCCTTCAGTGTGCAGCCAGACTGGGCTGTTTCAACCTCACTATTATAGGTATGAAAAGAAATGGATTTGCTCCTTTCACAGGTATTGGCAAAGGAGTGACAAATCCATTACAGAAAAGATTGGTGGAACAGTTTTAGAAGTGTATAAAGTTTATTGAATAAATTAACAGTTTGTTAAACTCAAAGCAAAGTAGCAAGTGGTTTCTTCAGTGGATTGTAGTGATTAATTGAAGTGGTTTGTAACATGCTAGTGCTAAACACTTTGAACATGGTGTAGTCATCTGAGAGCATTTGTATGAGAGCATTTGTATGGAATGTTTTTAGCTCAACTCGTGTTAGGCCAAAAGAGGTTTAATGAAATTGTTCCACTCCTAAAGATGGGGTCTTTGTTGAATCCTGTGAACACATGTGGTTGACAGAAGTAGTTGTGAGTATGTGATCTGTCCATCTTCACCTGAAGTGTTACAGTAAAGCTAAGAGCTACTGTTGCAATTTGACTTGTATTCTTTTGAAATGTGTATCTATGGACTTAAATGCATGTTTTGGAAATGTGAAGTGTTTGCTAATAAGTGTAAAAAGTTGTTGCTGTTCTGATTGTGGAAGTATTCTGCTTGGTTTTTAGATTACTTTTTATTACTCAATTTTTACTACTTTTTACACATCTAACTAAAGTTTTCTTTACCCTTACCTTTGCATACCCAATGCATACCCAAAAAGGCAATGAAAAAACCCCAATTATTTTTTTAAGCACAAATTATTCACTTGGCAGCATGTTTTGGGACAAACCTGTATTAAAAGGCATTTCAGGGACTTTTTATTTTATTGCATTACTGCATGCATGCCTTGCTAACATGACAAAAAATGTAAAAAAAAGTCACAGAAATGCCTGTTAATACAAGTTAGTCCCAAAACCAAAACATGCTGCCAAGTGAATAATTTGTGCTAAAAACTCCTGAATATTTCAAAATATCACCAAAAACATGCCTTACTATAATAAAAAAAATAAAAACGTCCCAGAAATGCACTAAAATGCAATATTATCTCCTAAAACATGTGGCCAAGTGAATAATTTGTGTAAAACTCCAAAAAGTATTTTATATGAATATTTAAAAAATCACCCAAAACATGCCTTACTATAATGAAAAAAATGAAAACGTCCCAGAAATGCACTAAAATGCAATATTATCTCCTAAAACATGTGGCCAAGTGAATAATTTGTGTAAAACTCCAAAAAGTATTTTATATGAATATTTCAAATATCCCCCAAAACATGCCTTACTATAGCCTTACCATTCCTGAAAAAAATTAATAGCGGCTATAATAAGGCATATTTTGGGTGATTTTTAGGTGAATATTCATATAAAATACCCTTTTGGCAGCATGTTTTAGGACAATCTTGATTTTTATAGAAGAGTTTTAGAATTTTCTTCATTCGTCATTTTTGTTCATTCTTGACAAATGTTTCTGCATTTTTTTTACGATGGTAAGGCATGTTTTGGGTGTACACATTCATGTAAAATACTTTTTGGAGTTTAAAACACAAAATATTCACTTGGCAGCATGTTTTAGGACATAGTCTTGCATTTTAAGGCATTTCGGGGACTTTTTATTTTTATGGATTTTTTCACGATGGTAAGGCTATAGTAAGGCATGTTTTGGGTGATTTTTGAAATATTCATATAAAATACTTTTTGGACTTTTAAACACAAAATATTCACTTGGCAGCATGTTTTAGGACATAATCTTGCATTTTAGTGCATTTCGGGGACTTTTTATTTTTATGGATTTTTTCACGATGGTAAGGCTATAGTAAGGCATGTTTTGGGTGATTTTTCAAATATTCATATAAAATACTTTTTGGACTTTTAAACACAAAATAATCACTTGGCAGCATGTTTTAGGACCTAATCTTGCATTTTAGTGCATTTCGGGGACTTTTTATTTTTATGGATTTTTTCACGATGGTAAGGCTATAGTAAGGCATGTTTTGGGTGATTTTTGAAATATTCAAATAAAATACTTTTTGGACTTTTAAACACAAAATATTCACCTGGCAGCATGTTTTAGGACCTAATCTTGCATTTTAGTGCATTTCGGGGACTTTTTATTTTTATGGATTTTTTCACGATGGTAAGGCTATAGTAAGCTCAATAGCTGAACTTTTCATGTCATTTTTGGTCAA